TTCAGGGGCCCTCTAAGATCAGAAAGAAGGAGAGGAGGACCTCCCCTATCAGTGGACTTGGGGAGGGGCATGCATGCAGAAAGGGGGGGGAAGAGGGTACTGGGAGGGGAGGAGGGAGGGGCTTATGGGGGGATACAAAATGAATAAAGTGTAATTAATAAAAGTTAAAAAAATAAAAAAATACACTGAAAAAAAAGTCAAAATAGTGTGTGTTTCTATACTCTTTACCACTATTAACTGGTTTTTATAGAACTAAAGGGTACTCTTCACTCTACTAGAGGAGAAGAGAAAACACCACTACAGCTACGAACAGTGCAATCTATGATGGTGTGCAGCCTGCAGAACACAATGAAGCAATGGTGGCACAAAATCTGTGGAAATAACAACCACTGTCTTATTGGAATTAAGGCCCATTTCTTGATATGTAACTCATGCCTGACAATGCCTGGATAGCCAACAATCTGAGATTAGGTAGGCAATAAACTTAGAAAACAAGCAAATTCTAGTGTTCTCTGAAAGAAACACAGCAATATAATTAACTCCTAATGACATTCTTGTATACACATAGACCAATATTTTTCTCGATTTTCAGCAGAAACACATCATCCTACAGTAATGGGAATAAAGGCAAAAACTCAGAACTGGACATTGCGCAGAGATGACCGATTTTGAAAACTGTCTCAAAATATTCCTTCCTTCAAGGCTTATGAAACACAGAATAGGAGTCAAGGAGACTGTAAGAGCCAGTTATGAAGGAAGACACTGAAACATGAAAGAAATCCACTGAACGTCAGGACTTACATATGTATGAACTTACAGAGAGTCTGTCAGCTTGCAAAATGACTGTAGATGTATACGCCAGAAGTCCTAGTGCCGAGATGGGAAGTAAGTACAAGCCTCACCCCCAAAACAGAAGCTATCTCCAAATTAAAACTCCTGACAAATGAGAATTATTTTTCTGTGGATTTTCACTAGGTAATCAAAAAATATATATATATATAAAGGCCAGCTCTATGCCCAATAACATATGACCAATACAAAACCAATTCAATGGTATTTTGGGAGATTTTATTGTTTCTCAATAATTTGTCTTCACATTTTTTTAACCATACAGATCTTTGTGTATATATTATGGTTTTTGGTGTGTCGATGTCTACATGTGTTTGTTACAATATTTATTTGAGTTTTGTTTTCATTTATTTATTTAGACTTAGAAAACAAGCAAATTCTAGTGTTCTACGAAAGAAACACAGCAATATAATTAACTCCTAATGACATTCTTGTATACACATAGACCAATATTTTGGTCTATACACATAGACCAATATTTTGGTCTATACACATAGACCAATTATTTAATTCTTTGTTTATTACTATTCTGGTTTATTTTTATTTTATTCTTATTTTTAGATGCCTATCTGTATTGTAATGAGATGGAGAGAAAGAAAAGTTATGGATTTCTGTAAGCAATCTACATGTACCTCAACTGAAAAAATGAATAAAGCAAACATGATACAATTTCATAATGTTGTATTATTACTCCGCTGTTAAAAAATAACATAAAATTTGTAGGAAAATTGATGGAAATAGAAAAGTTTATCCTGAGTGAGGTAAGCTGGACCAAGATACATAAATATTCCATGTATTTGCTTATATCTGTATATTAGCTGTTAAATAAATGAGAATAAACCTCTATAGACACAGAGTAGTTAGGAATAGAGGAAGGAACTCATAGAGGAAGGTCTCATAGATCTCCTGGGGGGGAAGAAATAGAATAGATTTTATGAGGGACTGTAGACAGGGAGGATAAAAATAGCAGAAAGTTAAGAAATGAAAAGTGAGATGGACGTTGAGGGAAGGAATGAAGATAAGGACAGCTAGAAATGAAGAGCATTTGAAACACAATATGGAAACCTAATACGGTGGAAACTTCTTATAATATATAAAAGTTATCCTCATGAAGTCTCCAAAGAATGAAGGAAATGGAAGCCCAGTTGGTCATCTGTTGCAAACAAATGAAATTTCTAGTACTGGGGCTTATGTGGTGCTCCTTTTAAACCCTATTTTATTTGTGGTATGTTGGTATAATGTTCTTGTGAAATGTATACAATTTACCATTGTTCATTCCAATGCTGATATATCCAGCCCACTATCTGGTTTCAATCCAGACACTGCATTGTGATGCTTATTCTAAGCATCACCTGTCTCAAATTTGTATATACCTGTTATCATTTGTTCTCTGTATTGCCAGTAAAAACAACTAGTCAATGCTGAGCAATGGAGAGAATAGGGTAGGACATCCTTGCCCAGAGGGGAGGAGAAAGAAAGAGTGGGAAGAGACATCTGAAAGGAGAGGACTGGGAAGTATCAGGAGAAATGAACTGGACCTAAGATATGATTAAAAATCAAGTATAATGAGGAAAATCTAAATGGGTGGAAATTATGCAAGCTTGGAGGTTTAGGATGGAGTAATTATTGCCCAGCATTGTGCTCAAAGTTAACTAAATAAATCCTAGTCTCTGTGTAGTAATTTGGGTATACGGCTTGTTTAGGAATAATTGCTGTTTAACTAGAAGATAAATCAACATTAAATATTAATAATCATCAAGAGGGGTATTTATGCTTCCACCTTTGTTTTACCAACCCTTTAACCGTAGGTAGGAGAGAGAAGATTAATGGAGAGAGGGAGCACAGTTGCCTTTACTTCTCCTGGCTGTTTAGGGTCCATGGGTTCCTTTTGGGCTATACTAATCTCTTTAAACAGAAAATACAGCAATCAGTCTCCTCAAAGCTGCTGAGTTGACATGTTTCTCTCTGTCTGTCTCCTAGAAGCGGTCTCACGGTCTCACGATCAGTCTCTGGTTTCTCTTCTCCTTCTGGGCTCTCATATTTACATACCTCACAGTTCTAGACCACACCTCTTTCTGTGAGGCAGGACACAGGCCTTTATCAGCTGTCAAATACCACACCCCCATGAAGCAATTATCAACTATAGACAAACTAAGGCCCAAACTAAAATCCCACATTTGGGATTAAAACAAAAAAAAAAAAACATATTTAAATAGCATAACTGAGCTTTTAAAGAAACCAAAACTTCCATTACAAAGGGGTTTCATGTCACCTCCTCTTGAGGGGTGAGCAGCCTTACTAAGCCACAGAGGAAGACAATGCAGCCAGTCCTGATGAGACCTGATAGGCTAGGGTCAAATGGAAGAGGAGGAGGACTTCCACTGTCAGTGGACTTGTAGAGGGGCATAGGAGGAGATAAGGAAGAGAGGATGGGATTGGGAGGGAATGAGGTAGGGGGTTACAGCTGGGATACAAAATGAATAAAATAGAATTAATAAAAAATAAAAATTTAATTAAAAAATTTAAAAAATAAAGAAAATTTCCCCCAAACCCAGGATGTGCCAAGACAATAGGTTGCTCTGCCAAAAAAAAGGGGTCCTACTCCTTAAGACAACACAATACACCAACTCATTGAACATAGAGAAGTCAAAATGGTGATACAGATAACCTTCACCCCCGTGTTTCATTGTCTATGACACAGAAAAGTACTTTATAGACTGCCAAAGGATGAGCTTAAACAACAACCCAAACACAAAATATTTTGATCTATATTCAGTCTTTCTGCAAAATATGCTAGGATAATGGTGGCACAAACCTTGATGGAGTAACCAATTATTGTATGATTTGACTCAAAGCCCACTCCACGAGATGGAACTTATTTCTGATGTTACTTGAGCAACAAACAACAAAAAACCTTGGGTTAGTATTGGTCTCAAAAAATGACTCCTAATTATATTCTCTAATATTCATACATCAGTGCCTTAGTAAGCCATCATGGGGGGGTTTCATTTTTCACTCCTGCAGCAGAAAGGTTTTCCAGAGACCAATATCCAGCTATTATGCAGAGAGAAAGAGAGAGAGAGAGAGAGAGACCTTGGCACACACAACTCTAAGTGAAGTGTTTTCATTGATCTCCTCATCTCAGACCTTAGGGAAACCCGAAGATGAAGCAGAAGGAGTAGGTGAGACAGATAAGACAGAGGGGATAAGGACATCAGGAGAACTAGGCTCTTTATAACAACTAAGCAATGCTTACGTGAAGACCCAGAGACTAAAATAGGAATCACAGCCTACAGAGGCCTACACTAGGTCCTCTGCACATACACTATAGCTTTCAGTTTAGTACATTTATGGCACTCCTAAATGTGCAAACAAGTAAGCCTCTGATTCTTGCACATTCTCTTGGGACTCTTATTTTTCTATTGTCTTGACTTCTCCAATTTTGATTTGCTGGGTTTTTTTTGTTTAACTTATTATATTTTATTTTGTTATGGCATAGATGCCTGCTCTTTTCTAATGATAGACAAATAATGAATGGATCTCTGGTGAAGGAGGAGTTGGGAAGGAACTGAGAGGAGTGGAGGAAGGGAAATGTATTCAGATAATATTGTATGAAAGAATCAATGTGTTATAAAAGGAAGACAAAGACTGTAAAAGTTCATCTTATAAGAAATATCTTATTTACAGTAAAAAAAATCCTTAGATTTGATAGAGACAAAATACATGTACTGCAGAAATTAAATCCAACTCTCCAGTCAAGTACTGTTAAAAAAATATACTATGAATAATCATAAAAAGGATGTGTGAAATTAAAGCTTTAAATGAATCCTACATGTGACTGAGAATGTTTGAAAACAAGGAAGTGGTACTCAAAACACTGTGTTCACAGTGAAATGAAACAGACTATTAATTTCTGTGCAAGGTGGCTTTCCTGGGGAACAATATCTGCAATGAAAAAAATGTCGATCAAAGATGATTTCAATGTATAGAACATATCCTTTCAAATGGAAATAAAACAATGGGAAACACTTAAATTTCTAATAAAGGAACAAAAGTGTACCCCTTTCTTCTCTGCAGTCTTTTTTCCACTTTTTTAGGTATTACAGACTCCTGTGAACAGGTTGGAAAGTTCTACAAAAGCATGTGTTTACCTGTCTCATTGGAAATCTCATTGTCTGCACAAGGAGTGCAGTCAAAGCAACAGACAGCCTTTCCTTCCTGGGAAGCTTTTCTGAATCCAGGCCTACAGCTCTCGCTGCAGACTGACCGAGGAATCTGAGAGAAATGAAAGCTATTAGCAAATGCTGACTTTTGTGAAATTTTTGAGTAAATAAATACTTTCTGAATATCATAAGTAGTTAATTTGCCAATACTTGCATTTAAAATTAAAGATAATGATTTTGATATTACTAATTATGGCAGATTTTGGTTTACACAGCCCACATGATCTAATATATAAAGCTGTTGTTAAGTATAGGTCATTAAACTAAATGTTCCAGAATGTCATGACTTGAGATTCAACGTGTCTCTACAGTTCCTGGCTACTAAGAGGAGCTTTTATATCCAATATGTTTATGATGATGAGGACTTTGCAGAGCTGGAATTCGTCATGGAAACAAATCTAATGCTTTTCTGTGAGGAGTTTTATATAGACATTTACCTGAGGTAGGAAGAGTCACCACAAAATGGAGCTCAGTATTTCATTGGCTACTGTCACAAACAGAATGAAATAAGATGAAAGGTGAGCAACCATATTCTTTAATCTATGATTCTGGTCTGTGATTGTGATGTCAACCCCTCCACTGGCTCCTACAGCATTCTTTTCCCACCATGATATAACACATACTCAAAGTGTCATCCAAAGCAAACCTGTGCTTCTTTCAGTTGCTTTGGTTGACTGTTTATGTGAAGTACAAAGCAAGTATAATACATGTGCACACACACACACACACACACATCTGTCATGCTATTCTACCTTTTCAGTGGTTGACAAAACAAAAATAACACTTTAATTTTCACTGATATTTCTTCAGCTGGATGACTAAATACACTTCCTATCAGTGGTTTAAGGCAGTTTCATAACAGACACTCTATTCATAAGAAGTGTGTGAGCATTTATAAAATTTAAAACTAAGGGTTTTTACTGATTAGATTCAGAGAATGAGAAAAAAAGTCTATGTTGCCTATTTTTATGTGAAGCTTCTTATTGGCAGCTGAATATTAATTGGTACAAACTGAGTTTCCAAGGATTATTATATTCTGAGAATCATTGTTGCTTGTATGAAACATCAAAGCAGTGAGACAAATCACAACTCACCTTTGTAAATTTTACTGGCCATTCTATTAGATGCTCAGACAAAGAGAACTGTTGCCCCTGGGGAGCATTTGGAGAAAAAGTTCCCACTTTCACTTTTAATCCCAGACCCTTTGGAAAATTCCAAAAATTGAGAATATCATACTCTGAAACTATTTTTTTCCTTCCATCTATTAATGTGTGACCTCGCACATAATTTTTCAGTAGGGTATTCTTTAGGAAAGGTAGTAGCTAAAAGAAATACAGAAACATTTGTTGATGTACACTTGAGATACTAAAAACATTTTTTAAAGTAGTACAAAGAATCTCAGTTGGCACAGCCATATTCACTGGAAATGGCAAAAGTCAGGGAGCCAGCACAGCTGTTTGTCACAGTTCCAGCAAACCTGAACCTAATGATGCAATTGCTGTATTTCTGTCTCTCACTTTTAGGTTCTATTCTCTATGTGTTACATTCTCAGGGATGTTCTGCAATATGATTAATTCTATGTCTTTTTCTGAGAAAATTATGCCTGAATCATTTTAGGAAAGTCCTAGACTTATTATCCGTTCAGCTTTTAAGGAAATAACTTTGTTTGGCCCAATTTGAAATATCTTTCTTAGGTCTTGGAGATTTGATGAGCACAGATAAAAACAAAGCTAGGAATTTCTAAGTGAGACGACTCCAGGAATGTTCTTTTGGTATCTTTAGCTAAGCATACTCAAACAGTATACTTGTACCAGGGTAAAGTTAGCAATAGTTGACAAACTATGACTGGTTGGGAGAATTGGTAACAGATTCAAAGCCTCTTTTTACAATATGTGTAGAGCTCTCTGAAAATGTAGTTTAAAGATAGGAGATCATACAGGCTACACTAGTGGAGGAATAAGATAGATTGACTAAATTAACCTATTTCTTCTTAATAGCATAGATTGTAAAATGATATAAATAAAATGAGTTAAGTATTAGTAGTGGCTATTCATAAAAAGAACAGTTCCATTTTTGTCTATTTGTCTGGAGTACCCTAAAACTACAATTTCTGCCAGCCTAAAAGCAGGGCATCATATAATAAATGTGTTTGCTTTCAAACACATTCTTTAAAATCTGAATTGGTTATAGGGTTGATAATAAATATAAAATCTGTTCTATTTGTACTTTCAAATGATGACTGAATTTGTAACCCCAGACACATAAAGAAAAATTAAACATATATCCAGAGTCAAAATTATACAATCTGTATGCCACAATGAATCATTAGTCTGCCTCTGCTGTGTGAAACCTGTTTAAATAAACAAGCAACCTGACTGATAGTAAGAATTTCAAGATACTCTTGACCACCATAACTGACTCATCCCTTCCTCATCAATTCCTTATCTCCTCTTCTGGAACCATGTCAAATGCTGTTGCTGGTCCTCAACATTCAGTGTTTTTGAGCACTCATGATAAAAACATCTGTAAGGGAGACATAAGATACATGGATTTAAATGCATTAATTTTTGAAAATCTCATTCTGTTCAAAATAAATCATTTAACTAAACACACTAAGATAGCAAGTTATGTGAATTAGGCTGATTCATTTTTTTTCTGAAAAGCTAGCCACCTCTTTTAACATTTGAAACATATTCAGAGCTTTCTTCCCTAAAATGATGCCCCTGAAGTCTAAAGTGCAATTTCAAGTTATCCTTAACTTCATAAGCCTCTGGTAGTATTTAGAAACATTGTAACCCTTAATGCTCTACTGCTCCAAACTCTGCTCTAAGGAATATAAATGGGAAATATCAGTTTTTCACAAATTATAAAAATGTGAGGCAACTTATTGCATGAATTTAATATTGACTAATAAGTTTTTTCCTCTAGCCTGACGTACCATTTATAAAGGAAATTTACTCTGAATTTTGCAATGACTTTCAGAAAGGGAAGCAAGTATCCCCACCCTTATTTATTGTCAACATATTCTAAAATTTATGGTACCCTGTTGTCATGCCTTAGAAAATAATAAAAATGTCACATTGTGGATATTCCAACACACAGAAAGGGATATTACCTGCCAGGGAAAGAATGCCCCTCCATTATCATATGCTTGTATCTGTATTTGCTGAAGATTCATCTCATGGAGACTGTAGGCCACTGCATATACAGCGTTGTATATATTGTAGGACTCCTCACTCATGGTTGGGTCAAAAACATGCCTGGGAAGCAACTCCAAAGAAGCATTGGGTTGGCAGTTCTCTAAAAGTTGACAATCAGACTCAGAGAATGAGCACTTGAAGAACAAATACCAAAACTTAGGAAGATAAATGTCTTCTGGGTATTTATAGGGATTAACTGTTTGAATGAAATTAATAAACTCAACCATCTCTTCATGGTGGTGTGAGAAAATGAGGCTCCCATGAAATGACTCTACCATGAAATAATCAGAATGGCTGTCAAAATCCCACGGAGAGTTCAAGACCCAGACTTTCCATGTCACTAAGAGTTGTGAAATATGTCTCATTAAGCCTTGTAAAGAAACAATATCCCCATAAATAACAATCACATTTGCTGATGATTCTGAAATAATTTCAATATTTTTCCATATTATATTGGAAAATGAATTCCAGGTACCAGAGATCATTTTCAAAAAGGCTATGCAGATGTTATTACTCTCCATATTTTCCCTCAAGTCTGACAGTATCTGAGTCCCTCTATGGTCATCTGGGAGGATCAAACCAACCCAAGACCAGCTGAAATGAAGCATCAAAGAGACTATGGCAAGTGACAGATATGTGTCATTGGGGGCCATCTGATAGAGAGACTTAAATTGACCTCGGTCATTTAAGATAGAATCAAATGGCCCAAAGGTGAGCTGAAGAGGAAACAAAATTGGAAATCATCAGCACAATGTCACTTCCAAATCAACAGACATAAACAGTTAGGATAAAGATGGTTTGTCAGTTTTAAAATGCAAACACATTACAGAGTTTTCCACAGTAATTCCTGACAGGTTTTCAGTTTAAATATCCTAGCTGGTCTCATCCACCTCTCCTTCCTTGCTATTTCCTATTATGGAAACTTGGATCTATTGTCAAGTACCTTCATACTTTTCATTGATATCTGAATATTTCAAGTCCCCCTATTTTTTTAATTTCAGGCACCTATAATACTAGCTCCCACAACTCATACCTCACCTGTGGTATTTTGTAGAGTTGTAGCAGTGTCCCAATATGGGAAGATGTTGCCCATGCTGTCCCTGTGAGTGCAGCAGGTGACTTTCTCTTCTGCCCACAGTTGTAGTTAGCTAGAGGAATGCTCATTCTTGTGAGCCAAAAAAAGGCACTATGAAGAATACTCTTTTCAGTAAATGGGACATTATAAAGATCAAAGCCCAGGGTTGTGTTGGGTAGAAGATGAGGATTTCTGTTGATTTCTTCAATGGCAAACACCAGGGCCAGAACAAACTTGTAGTTCTTAAACTTATATCTGCACAGATTTCAACAAAAATTACACATGAAGAAGTCACAGACTATAGAACCTTCCTAGTTAGTGCAATGTCTTTTATAACTCAAACACCAAGGTCTCTATAAAATCTATATTTTAATATCTTGTCATGAATAGCTTGAATTAGAACGGCCATTTTAAGTATGTAAGATTAGGTAAAATCCTATAGGATGAACACTTGCTAAGTATGGTCTCTGGGACTCTAATTTATTGTTATGTTTATATATTTATGTGTGGAAAAACTATCTACAAATAAGGAACTAGGTTCTGACACATTAGAACTCTTGGTGTCTGGATCTTGGTTTTTTAGCCTTTATAAATTTAATGGGTCAGTTTTTACTTAAACACCCAGTTTTCTGCGATAATATCCTATTTAAAATATATAACAAAGTTAATTTAAAACATATATTGCTGCAGGTGTTGTTTCTATGATCCTTTTAATAGGTTTGTGTGAAATATCCTATGTAGACCAAGAGGAACTTATGGTGGTCTTCGTATAACTAACTCTCAATGGTTGGGATTAATTCTTATGAACACACCCAAATTATTTTACTTTCTGTATATTTATGAGTAACACATATTACAATGTGGGTCACTTATGTGGATGTGAGTCTCTGTGCAACTACAAGTTCCTGAGTGTCAACAATTATGAACGAAAGACAAAGAAGGACATCCAGAGTCAGCCCAAACTGTTCACATTATTTTACATAGGGTCTTTTAAGCATTTGAATTCATTATTGATTGACTGACTATTTTACTTAATTGATTGAGACAGAGTTTGACCATGTAGCTTTGGCTGGCTAGAACATACTCTGCAAACTAATCTGGCCTTGAAATCACTAACATTCTTGCTGTCTGTCTTTCATCAGTGCTGTAAAGAAGAGAGAGTACCACACCACTAAATTCAGGAGACTGTGACAGACTACAAAGACTAAAGTAGAAATGCAAAGACTCACAATGAAAATATTTTAATTAAAATTTATTATAAAGAGCTATTAAATAAAAAACTCCAGGCAGTAAAATTAACCAGACTAGAACTCTGCACATCTCTCTGAACTTGTATATAACTATAGCTATTCTTAGTAACATAAGGAAGTCAAATACTATAATATTTCAGATTCATTCCTAGAATATATACCAGGAAGATACAAGACTGGATTCTGCAGACTCCATTGCTGAAGACACCACACATTCAAATTACAGAACATAGGAAAATAAAGCTATACTCATTTGGACACTTCATCTTTCCTGGCTAGATTTACAGTGCTGAAAAGTGCTATGTCAACAAAGAAAGTAAAAGTAATTATCCTCTCACTCATCTGTGAACCATGAGGGATCAAGTAATAACTGGTTTTACATGATATATCCTCTGGTACTAAAATATCCACACATGTTGTATGTGGAGCAAACCTTTGTCTGATTTGATGTAAGGCTCCCTCCATGGCTTCTCAGAGAAGCTTGTTTGTCCAGTAGATGTTAAATAACACAGCAACTAATGACTGATCATGGTACATATAATAATGAACTATGACATTCTTAGGCCAAAAAAAAATTTGGATTACATTTTTTTTTACATTATCATACCCCTACAAACAAGGCTGAGAGATCATGGTGAAAGAGAAGAGGGAAGACTGTAAGGCCTATAGGCTTTTTATAACTTTAAAGAAGTATTTTTGTGTACAACACTTGCACATTTGAACTCATAATGATTATGAAAGTATGTACTCAAACAAGACAAAAAAAAATACCAGCATGGAGAAGGAGATGTGCACAAAAATCTCACCACAAGCTGAAATGTTATTAAGATTTTTTAGTAAATGGAAGTAAGATAGTCAGTTTGTTCATCTTTTTCCCCTTACATGTCAACCACACTCAGGGAAGGCTCCACTTATAATAGTACTTATAGAACACAAACTGTACTTGACTGGAAAACAATAAAAGAGACACAATGTTAGATGAGTAGGGAGTAAGTACGAATAAAGAGGATATGGGAAGATGTGGTGGTGTGGGTGAAAAATAATAAACTATGAAATTATTAAAAATTAATAAATACTTTAAAGGCCAAAATAAAGCAAATATTATGTCTTATGGAGGGTTATTTTTCACAATTACAAGAAAGAAGAAAAATACGGCTTTTGCCAATATACAGTATCAATTCAAATGCATACGTATAGAAATATAATATGTATAATTTTGACAACTTCATGTGTGTAAACAAAGGCTTGCAAGCACATTATAAAGTGCAATCACTACTACACATTTGGGGAAAAGCAGCAGAAGGGCTCCAAGATTCCAAACATGAAGTAATGATAAGGAAATGGAAATACTATAACCAAAAAAAATTCAACAAAATTTTATTTGAGATTTTCTTATTCTGTTTACACACTGGTTTTAAAATCTGCCTTCCATCAGTTGTCTAATTCACCTTGATTAATATATACAAGTTCGTGAACATGAGTAATATCTTTCTTTTAGAATGAAAGAATTTTTTTCTTTCTCCTATTTCATCTTCATCTTTCCATCCATCTATCCATCCATCCACCCAAATTTGTGCTCTCTTTTTCTCTCTAGCTCTCAAACATATAAATTTTAAAAAGCAAACGAACCATTATTAAAAACAAACAAACAGAGAAGTGAGGTTTGATGGTACACACCATTAATGTCAGGACTCAAGAGGCATGGTCAGAAGGATCTCTGTAGTCGAGGCTACAGAGATATATTTTATATGTTGTACATATAGAATTTCTGAACAGTGATGACTACACAGATAAAATCTGTCTCAAGAAAAGAAAGAAACAAACAAAGAAAGGTAAATAACAAGATGTTTACCTGGGAATAGTAGTGCATGCATTTAATTCCAGCACTCAGGAGGCAGAAAGATTTTGTGAATTCTTGGTCAGCCTAGTCTACATATTAAGTTACAGACCCGATAGGCTAGAGTCAGGGGGAAGCAGAGGAGGACCTCCCTGTCAGTGGACTTGGGAAGGGGCATGGAGGAGATGAGGGAGGGTGAGATCAGGAGGAGATGAGGGAGGGGGTTACAGCTGGGATACAAAGTGAATAAAATGTAATTTATAAAAAATTAATTAAAAAAAGAATTGCTAGGGCTAAGTGAGTTGGAAAGACTATGTTTAAAAAAGAAAACAAATGAGAAGCAAGATGGCAGCAACCAGTTTGCATCGTATCCGACAGGCAGAGGATCTGAAACTCCGAAATTGGTGAGTGGAGGGGCAGCTGAAGCCAGAACATAAATATTGAGGCTTCTTGGGTGAGAGGGGACAACCCATGAGCTGAGACCATTTGGATCCAGGGTCACCCGTGGACTTCTCCAGGAACTGAGAGTGGCGAATATCCAATCCCCCTGCACTTCCCCTTGTCAGGCCTCCCCCCTTGGCAGAGGTGGCCCATAATGCCCACTGCTCCTAACACAGAACTTCCTGCCCCGTATCTGAGACTGAGAAGGCAGGCCTCCCAGTTCCTCAGCAGTGGGCAACTGGCAGGTTGGCAGGGACACCAAGGTCTGCCAGGCCACCCAGGTCTATGGGCAGCTGTACAGGTTCCAGACTCCGCAGAGCCTCCCAGAAGGCAACCGTACCAGCCTCCAGTTCTGAGGCTATGACTGGACTTGCAGCAGGCCACTATAGCAGTCTCTCAGTTCTGTAGCTGCAGCACCACTGAGCTGAAAGATCTCCTCACTCGCATTTACCTCAGCAGGCACATATCTGAGAGTAAAGAACATTGGAACCCTGTACATTTCAATTAGGCCTGCTAGACAGTGAGTGTGCTTTCAAGTGAGAGCATGAAGAGCCCCAGATCCAGGGTCCCTCTATGCAAGCAAAAAGACATTGGATCCCTCCCACCCACAGACCCACTGTGGGCAACATAGGGATTCTTGGGACAGCGTTCTCAACTTTGAAGCCCCTGTTCGGTGTGTCTACCAGTGGAGTCCAGGCAAACAATTCCTGGAGCCCAGACAGATATGAATACCAGAAGGACAGTATGACAGTCCTGTAGGCCACTGAGGTATTCAGGGAACCTGCACATGTGCATTTTATCTGTGAACAGCACCAGTGCCCACACCCTCTCCTGTATCTGCACTGCCCTCCCCCACATTCCAAGCATCTACACTCTCACATTCCAAGCATCTACACTCTCTAGCACCCTGTCTTTCAAGGCACACTTCCAAGCTCATGCCAGCACTTCCTCACCTGCACTTGTGCAATGCACCTGAGAGCTTTTTTGCTTATATATGACTGAAACACTAATGCACACTCTCAAACTAAGGGATTTCTCTCATCTTCATGAAGAATACTCCAGACACCAGAAAAAGACTGACCCAGTCTAAACTACAGACTCCAGGAACAAACAGCAAAGGTTACAGATAAACAGGGGGCCAGAAGTTGGCCCAACATCCAAACACATCCAAAAAAAATCAGGACATCATGGCTTAACCAGCAACCCCCAAAATCAATGGATATTTCAGTCATTGGAAACCCAGGAAAATGATTTTAAAACTACGCTTATCTAGGTATTAGAGGTACATAAAGAGGAAACAAACAAATCTCTCAAGGAAATAGCCACATAAATGGAGGCAAATAAAGAGAAAAAACAAAGTTCTCAAAGAGACACAGTTAAATACAGTCAAACAAATAGGCACAAGTAGAGACCCAATAAGTGGCATATAAGGAAATAAAAAAAAAAGAGACCATCAAAGAAAGACAGGAATCCACATTCAAAAAGATGAAGGAAATGATGCAAGGCATGAAAACAGAATCAGAATCAAAAAAAAAAAAACAAAAAAAAACACAAACAGAAAATCCTGGAGCTGGAGAACTTAGAGAAAAGATCAAGAACCGCAAAGCTAAACATCACCAATAGAATACAAGAGATAGAAGAGAGAATCTCAGGTGCTGAAGATACCCTTGCAGAAATTGATACATCTCTCAAAGAAAAAGTAAAATTGGAAAAGTTCCAAACACAAA